GAGCACGCTGGGAACGACGCCGGCGCACAGCCAGCCCACTGGTACCAGCAGCCTCGCCAGAAGCCTGCTGGCCCGCCATGGCAGCACCTGAAAAAAGAGGCCGAGAGAACAGGGGCTGCTTAAGCGGGACATGCTTGCTCGACAGCGGCTCGCAATTGCGCGGCCGTTCTGAAGAGCTCGCGATCGCAAAAGCCCTTGGGCCTCAGAACGGCTAGGAGAGAAATCCCCCCCCCACGAAACACAGAGGCAACCATGCTCTGGCTGCTCCCCCTGCGCCTCCTCTGAATAGCAATACGAGGACCCCCAATCATCTGGGAGGCGACCTAAGTTAGGAGGCCAAAAACAATAGGGTTAGAAGGTTTTTTTGTTCTGCAGATGTATCAAACCACACCCCTAATGCAAAGACGGGGACATCAGTGAGGCCACTCAATTAGTTATTCGGTTTAAGGGTTCTATTAGCCTCGATGATCCCCCCCTCCCCCCATCCTGCCCTCGTTGCCTGACTAGGCTTATGTCGGGCGTGTCCTCCTACAGGCGGAGTTTGAGCGAAATTTGAAAAATGAGCAGACATCAATAATAGTCAAGAAATAATTGGAAATTCGTTCCCCTTCAATTTTGTTACTATTTTTGAATGTTCCTCTTGTAGAGGGACGTGCCCGATTTACGACTAGGCCTGTTCTTCTGGCTGACCGAAAGCCCCGCTCCCCCAAGGAGCCCCGGGGGCGCCTCCTCGAGGAGGAACGGGGGCGAGGAGGGGGGAGGGGAAGGGAGGAGGAAGGAGAGGGAAGAGGAGAGGAGGAGGGGGCGAGGAGGAGCGAGGAAGGAGGAGGAGGAGGAGGGAGGAGGGAGGAGGAGGAGTGGGCGAGGGGAGGGGGGAGGGAAGAGTGGAGGAGGGGGGAGGGCGGGCCGGGGAGGAGGCGCGAGGGGAGAGAGGGACAAAGGGGGGGGGGGAGGCCCGCGGATTCGGAGCCACAGGTGGCAAGTCGGGCGTCGCCGAGCAACTGGAAGCCAGCGAGAGAGAGAGAGAGAGAGAGAGAGAGGGCATGCACTGCAAACCCCTCCTGCGCAGCTTTGGCGGCACGGAGCCCGAGGCTGCCGCCACGCTGCGCTGCGCGGGCCGCCCCTGCCACGGCGAGGGAGCAGCGGGAGCGCCGAAGCATGGGCACCGCTGGGCCGCAGCCCTCGGACTGCCCGTACAGTCGGGGCGCCGACCTAAGGAGCCCTAACGAAGGAACGAGGCCCCTTTGTCTCCAGAAGTTGAGCTTCGGTTTCCCTTCGACAGCCTCAGGAACACGTGGGGTAACCCGTGAAACCATTCGGGAACACGGAGCCCCAGTCCAACGAAAAGAGTTCCTTCTTCAGCGCCCCGACTGTGCGCCTGCAGGAACACGCTGTTGAAGCCGGGGTGGATGAGGAATCCAGGGTCTGGAAGCCAGCGGAGCTTCAACTGAGGCTTGGCCACGGACGCCACCGCCGCCCTCATCGGAGAAGGGACCCTCCGGGGCCCGAAGCCTCCTTGGCACATTCCTTCACCAACGCCCCCACCGCATGCAGGACGCAGGGTGGGATGCAAAACCCCCGGGCGTCCCTGGGGGTCACGCGGGGGTACCCCCCGACAGTCCTCTCAAAAAACCTTCAGGTCGGGAGACAACTCCTGGGGGAGGTCGCCGTGTGAACTGCTCGAGGCCACCGAGCCCGATTCGGGGTCACCCGATCTGAATGGAGCCAGATTGAACAAAGGATTAAGGCACGTTATGCTGGCTGGCTTCAGCCTCCCAGGACACTAGTCCCGCGGTCGCCTCGGAACCCATGATCCCCCCGCCCCCGTCTCCTTGCACTCGGCGCGGAATACCAGCGTCTGCACGATGCGCTCGGCGGCGGTGTCCACGTTCAGCTCCTGGGCATGGACCGCGAAGCGGAAACCAAGGAGAGAGAGAGAGAGAGAGAGGACACACATAGAAAGAGAAAAAGAGAGATAGAGACGTAGAGAGAGAGGGAGAAAGCGAGAGAAAGAGAGAGAGAGAGAGAAAGAGACAAACACAGAGAGAGAGACAGAGAGAGGGAGCAGAAAAGACACATAAACGAAGGCAGAAAGGAGCAGACTCGCACAGTGCAGCATTTTCTCCAGCATCGTGTCAGGCTTTCCTTTTGCTCAGTACATACACATATACATATATCTATATATATATATATATATATATACAGATGCGTGCAAAGACCGCAAAAACGTACGCATCCTCGCCGTGTGTACGTGTTCCGCTGGCTGACTTCTACCAGAAAGCTGGAAACATAAAAGGTTGGACTCACACGTGGATCACTTGGAAGCGTGGCGCTGGATACACGTGCGAAGGGCATGCGCACCCGGCCGCATGCGCATCCAGCTCTCGCCCATGCCAGCCACGTCATGTCTGCCCAAGGGAGGAGGAGGAGGACGAGGAGGAGAGGGAAGAGGAGGAGGAGGAGGAGCAGAATGAGCAGGAGGAGGGAGAGGGGGAGCATGGGGAGGAGGAGGAGGAGGAGGAGGAGGAGGAGGAGGAGGGGATGCTGGCGTTTGCCTGTGAGGCGCTGCGCGTACAGGACGGAGAAGGAGGCGATACGGAGAGAGCGCAAGCCACCGACGGCGGGCACACACGCCAGTCTCACTAGACATAGCACGCTCGCGTGCTCAATTGAGTGGCTGAGTGGGCAACTTGCCTGCTCGCTTGGTTACTTCTGCCAGGCCCCTTCTGGTGGCCGTTGCTGCCTTGTTGTTGTATGTTGTCTCTTCTCTCAGTCTTTCCTGGCTCCATATGCTTCTGCTGTCTGCCACCAGGCGACCAAGAGGACCTCAATAACCTTGAGGAGGACTGGAGAGACCTCAGAGGCGTTTGTGTTAACCAACGCGTGATCTCAATTAACTTGCATGTTTGGGTGGTTGATTGACTAGTCGACTGGTTCTGGTACGGAAGCGACTCGGGCGACTGACTTTGCTTATTTGATTGATTCCCTGGGTGCTTGTTTGATTACATGCTTGTTTGGCTGTTTTTCGACGGGCATGTTCCCGACGGCTTCGGTCGGCGGTCGTCCAGAAGCTGCGCTTAGCGACGAGCGGCTCGGTCGCGCGCGGCAGCTGAAGATATGATGGGCATCCCCAGATAAACTCCAAATGCATAGAGGCCACAACAGCAGGGTCGGAGTAAATGTGGTCGGAGTATATGGGGTCGGGGGATCGCGCCGCGTTGCCGATGCATCGGCGACGGCGGGGTGGAGAACGTCGGGTTTCGCCTCGAGCCGCATCGCAGATGCATCGGCGACGCGGCGCGATTCTCCGACCTATAGGAGGGGGTCCGAGTGCAGTCGGGCCTGGGCCAGAAGGCCATCCTTCAGGGACGCGAGAGACCCTGCGGCGGCCAAGGCAGACAGAACATCCAAGGGTGCCCTCCCCGGGATGCACAAGAACATCCAACACACACACACACACACACACACACACACACACACACGCCCGCGCACACACACACACACACACGAAGAACTCGAGGGCACCCTCCCCGAACCGACCGCGATCTAACACCTCGGTCTGGCCGTAATAAATGGGGTCGGGAGATCGCGCCGCATTCCCGGCGCATCGGCGATGCATTGGTCACGTCGGCGATGTATCCGCATGGAGAAGATCTGGCCCCACATCATGCGACGCCCTGATTTGTTGAGACCGGCGCCCCTGGAAGCCCCGACCCTTTCCCAGGGACCGGTCTTTCGTCCTGAGTCGACTCTGCTGCCGGCCCCCGGGCCCAGCGAGGGCCCCTTATGGGGCCGTAGAGAGCCAAAAACCCCCCCGCTGGAGGAGGAGGAGGAGGAGGAGGAGGAGGAGGAGGAGAAGAAGGTGGAGGGAGCAGGGAGGAGGGAGGAGGTGGATGAGAAAGGAGGAGGAGGAGGAGGAGGAGGATTCTTGTTTCACGACGCGCTCCTGCCTGCGGCACGCTCCGATCCGGTCCGCTCCGCTCCGAGCCCACCCGGGAGGCCTGGCACAGCCCGCGCCCCCCGCTCGCAGGGCCTCCTCCTCCTCCCCCTCCTCCTCCTCCTCCTCCTCCTCCTCCTCCTCTCCTCCTGCTCCTCCTCCTCTCCTCCTCCTCCTCCTCCTCCTCCTCCTCTCCTCCTCCTGCTCCTGCTCTTCCTCCTCGTGCTCCTCCTCCTCCTCCTCCTCCTCCTCCTCCTCCTCCTCCTGCTCTTCCTCCTCCCGCTCCTCCTCATCCTCCTTGTCCTCCTCCCCCCCCCCCCGGCGGCGCGCTGCCTCCTTCCCGCTGCGGGGAGGCCGCAGGCCCTGCCCCCTCTGGCAGGAGCCCCTCTCCCGTCGGGCAGCGGGCCCCACGGCGGGAGGAGGGCGGGGAGGAGCCAGGGCGGGGGAGGGCGGGGAGGATGGGCCCAGGCATGGTCGCGTCGTGAAAGAATCGGGACGGGAGCTGTTTGGGCTACTTTCGGCCCCGGGGGGCCCTCGCCAGGCCTCGGCACCGTCAACAAAAACGGCTCAGAACGGAACGCCGGCCCCTGGGAAACGGTCCGGACTTCCGGGGACGCCGTCCTGAAAAGATCAGGACGTCGCATGTCTGGGGAGGGGTGTGGTGGGTGGTCGCTGCGGAAGTGAGACAAGTCCCGAGCAGAGCAACACGCACCACAACCACGACGACGCCGAAAGCGACGACGGAGACGAGGCGCACAGACGATCCGCACCGACGCACGGCTTAGGGAAAAGGCCTACCGTGAAGGTTCGGTTAAACAGCACATCGTTAAGCGGTGCTGCAGCCAGACAAGATGGGTTTGCACCCTCATGCCTCAGGGGTGGGACATGGTGTGGAGAAAAGGGAGGAGGAGGAGGAGGAGGAGGAGGAAGAGATGGAGGCAGGAGGAGAGGAAGGGACGGAGGAGGAGGAGGAGGAGGAGGAGGAGGAGGTGGAGGAAGGAAGACGAGCTCCTCGGCCCGGATGAACTTGAGCAGCATCATGTTGGTCCCGTCGCCGTCGCCCTCAACGTCCTCGCGTACGCATCCTCCTCGCTCGCCCTCCTCCCGCCTCGAAGGAGAAGGACGACGAGAGAAGATGACAAATTCTTCAGGTGCAGTGTTTGCCATCTAGGCCTGCGCCAGTCTCTAAATATTTCTGGGGACCTAAGGATATCTCCAAGGACCTTCATACTCCTCACCTTCAGTATCTCTCCGTGTGCCTCTCCTCGTCGTCGTCCTCCTCTGTGTGGCGCCGGCGCTACCCAGCGTTACCCTCGACGTCCTGGCCGAAAGTCCCGAGCCATGGCTAGGGTGGTCGGTCCTACATCCGCAGTCTGAGTGGTATTGACTTCGGGTAAACGCAGGTACGTAGAGGATCTCGAAAGGCGCAAGGAGGTGGAAACTTAGATTGCTTCTATGCTATGATCACCTGCTCCTCCTACAAGCGAAACGCTGTCATAAGAAACCCTGAATAAGGAACGAGGCCCATTTTTGCTATACGTTAAACTCCGATTAGTCATAGAAGACCTACGGACAACGGAAGACAAGCTGTAACATCATCCTGGCGAAGGGCCCAACCATGTGCAGCTGTGAATGCCGTCGTTGCGGGTACCGCCTTCGGGGAATCTCCTCACGGGCCATGAAGCATGCGAAGGGTGTGCCGACATGGGGCGGAGCCGCCATGTGGACGCTGCCACTGGGGTTTCAAGTGGGACCCACTATGGGGCCACGAAGCGTGTGAAGGGTGCGCCGGAATGGGGCGGGGCCGCCCTTGGGACCTTCGGTGGAGCTCCTTACAGGGCCACGGAATGCTGTACTGGGCGGGGGCGACGCATGCGAACACCGCCACTGGGGCCTTCGGTGGAGTTCCCTATGGGGCCACGAGGTGCTGCACTGGGTTGGGGAAACGCATGCTAGAGCAGCCGCTGGGGCCTTCGGTGGAGCTCCCTAAGGGGCAACGAAAAGCTGTACTGGGAGGGGGAACCGCATGTGAGAGCAGCCAAAAAGTCCTTCGGTGGAGCTCCCTGCGGGGCCACGAAGTGCCGTACTGGGTTGGGGAAACGCATGCTAGAGCAGTCACTGGGACCTTCGGTGGAACTCCCATACGGGGCCACGAAACAGTACACGGGATGGGAGCACCACATGCGAGAGCAGCCACTGGGGCCTTCGGTGGAGTTCTCTGTGTGGCCACGGAACAATGTGCTGGGCGGGGAGTCACGCGTGCAAGAGCAGCCACTGGGGCCTGCGGGTGGAGCTCCCTACGGGGCCACGAAACGTTGTACGGGGTGGGGGAACCGCATGTGAGAGCAGCCGCTGGGTCCTTCGGTGGAGCTCCTTATGGGGCCACGAACCACTGCACTGGGCGTGCCGGGACACAGCCATGAACGGATGGCAGGGGCACGGTCAGGAGGAGGGAGGAGGGCGGGAGGCGACGATGGGGCGCTGTCTCTTCAAAACGGGGACCCGAACACAACAGGATGGCTGGGAAGAAGCAAGGAACGCTGAGCCCCTCCCCCACGAAAAAGGGCTCCTTCTTCAGCACCCCGGCTCTGCACGGGCGCTCCGCGCCCCGCGCCGCTGGCCTTCCTCGCCCCCCCCCCTCCATCGGGGGCCACGCGCCAGAGGAGCGGCCTGGCCTCTCCCTCGTGGCCGTTTGAGGTAGCACAATAGACGCCCTCAGGACCCGCACTACGAAACACGCCGCGTCGGAAATTCAAGCTCTCCCGGCCTAGAGTCGGGGCGTTGACCTAAGGGACCCTAAATAAGAAACGAGGTCCTTTTTTTCCATGAGTGAACCTTCGATTTCCTGTCGAAGACATAAGGAAAGCCTGAGGCAAGCTGTGAAACACACTTAAGGAACGCGGAGCCCCTCCCCAACCAAAAAGGGTTCCTTCTTCAGGGCCCCGACTGTAGAGGGGGGAGGCCACGCGCGAAAGAGTCGCGGGGAGGATGCGGAATGATGGGAAAAAGAGGAAATCATGCAGGGGAGAGGGAGGGAGACCCAGAGGATGGGAAGAACAAGAAGAGCACCACCCGTCCTCTGGGCAGGGGTGTCTCGATGGGCTCTCTCGTCCTCTCCGCTGGCCGCGCTGCATGGATCCGAGCGCTCTTGGCACGGATGGGCCCGCAACCTGCAAAATCTGTACTGGGCCAAAACACGGGTCTGTATCAGCAGAATCGGACGACCCGCTTCGCCGGGTTCGCGGGAGTCTGCGCGAAGATCGCCACATTCCCGGAGGATGTGGACTCTGCTGCAGCCGGCCGGGGCGGCAATATCTGCTAGCAAACAAGAAGATGCAGAGATTGAATTATCTACCGAGGCAGTGCCGCAGGGATCTGGCATCATCTGTAGCAGGACAGCGTTAAAGGGTCGTCCACGCAGACCTTCGTCCAAGGGTCATGAGTGGCGTCCTTGAGAACACAACGCTGGCCTCCAGGGCATTCGGTGCAACCTGTCCATTGCTGGCCTCCACACTGAGAGCATATTGTACAAACGCTGCCGGGTCCCATGCTGGTGAGCTCCTTGGTGTAAGGATCCACGCACACCTTGGTCCACGGATCTATGCCGTTCGACTCGCAAACTTGGTCTCCAGGACACTCAGAGCAACCAGTCCAGTTCTGGCCCCCACACTGCGAATGGGCTGTGCAAATATCGCCTTCACTCTTGATGTTGAGCTCCAGGGCTTGACGATCTACGCAGACTTTCGTCCAAGGGTCCAAGCCGTTGGCCTCACAGACTTGGTCTCCAGGGCAGCGGGTGCAGCCTGTCCAATGCTGGCCCCCGCACTGCGAATAGCTGGTGCAGATTCCGCCGAAGCCCCCGCGCAGAGAACTTCCATTGTGAGCCGACGCCGCCATGAATCCGCCAGCCCTCTTGGGGGCTAACAGGCTGCAAGGGCTAGATGTCCTGCCCCCGGCGCCAGTTCCAGCGCGCAGGCCCCATTCTTATAGCTAATTCCAGATCTGCTGGCTCCAGCGCTGGCAATTGTTGAGAGGGACAGGCGAAGACCCCGGACAGAAAAATGGCCCCATGACCACGTCGGGATCGCGTCCTGAAGAGTCATAGGGGGCCCTGGGGACACGCGAGGATGATGCAGCTGGGCGCTCTCGGGGCCACCGCACCAAGCAACTGGCGACAGGTTTGCGCTTCCGAAATCACCGCCCATGGAACACGCCTTGGGTCTCGCGCTCCCGAGGCTGCAGTCCCTCGCTTTGTGGGCCCCGGACACGGCAGGGCCGTTTTTTCACCGTTTCCACAAAAAATGTCCCTTGAAAATGGAAACGGCAAAAAAAAAACGGCGACCGGAAACGGCAACAAAAACGGCTCCAGGATTGGCACCGGAGCCGGAACCGGTCAAAAAATAGCGACGGAGCCGGTAAACAAACGGCGTCGGAATCGGCAAAAAAACGGCAGAACGGAACCGGTAAAAAACTGGCCCTGTCGTTTCCAGGGCCCAGTAAGGTCCCTCGCAAAGTGCACGCGGAACCATCGTGCTCCCGAGGCCCCGATCCGTTGTGTGAATTGCAGTGCACGCGGGGCCTCTGGTCCATCTCTAGTCCACAACTCCTCGTGTAACTAATCACGGCGCGTGCGCACTCCTGCAGCCACAGCTCCAGACACGATGACACATCACGTTCGCGTTGCCGAAACCACATTGCCTTGAAAACGCACTCGCGATCTCGAGACGACAACCCGTAGTAAATCACAGGAAGAGGGCGAATGCGGCGCCAGGAAGTTGAGGTGGAGGAAGAGGAGGGAGGAGACAGGAAATGAGGAGGGAAAGAACGGACAATGACGAGGAGGACGAGACGTCGGGCTTTTGAGATATACTGTTGTGAGAGGCTCTTAAAAGACGACTCAGGCCATGGAAGGGGTTCTGAGAACCCCTTCCACGGGGACCACAAGAGAACTTCTCTTGCGGTCCCCGTGGGACCTCTTGGGGCATTGTCGGGACCCTCTTGGGGCTCGTTTTGGGGTCTTGGGACTCTCTTAGGGTTCATTGGAGGGGTCTGGGAGGCCTCTTGGGCCCCATGGCTCAAAAAGAAAAGGGTTTGTCAATTCGGGCCCCACCCCTGTGCGCCGCGCGGCGACCCCGCCACGAGGGATCTCCCCTGGATGATCTCCCTACTCAGCCACTTCCTCTCCTTCAAGAAGCGGGGCGTCAGGGACATCTGCAGCTCCATGCACGACACTATCGCGGGGCTGACTCAGCGCGCGTCGGAAGAACACTGGCATGTTGGTGCTGCCGGAGGACTTGGTACGGTCTAACAGCAGCGTCGCGCGAGCCACTCTTGAGCAGGGGCCGACCGTCCCGGCATTTCTATAGCCCTACCACGATATTTTCTTAGAACCCCCAAATGTTCTGAGAACAATAGAGCATAAACCCGATGTGACAAAACAAGACAGACTCCGCCAGAAATGTTCTAACAACATTGCGTGGAACCCACAAAAGGCTCTTAGAACATTGTTTGGTAGGGCTATTGGCGAGCCAGGACGCTTCGCCACTGCTTCACACTCCCAGTGTCCTCGCCGCCCCTGGCAACGGGGGGGCCGGCGGCAGAGGCGAAGAGGCCCTTGCCGATGACGCACCGAGGCACAGCAGAGCCTGGTTCCCGCGCACGAGCAGGGGCATTGCGGGTCCGCCCTCTGTCGGGATCTGCGCGGGCCCCGGTGGCTTCGCGGAGGGATGCAAGCCGGGCGCTCCCGGACAATCACCAGCAAGGCTCGCAACCAAAACAAATGACTGCGGATGCCCCTTTCGAGGAGGGGCCGACCCATCTCTCCTGACCGCGCCACAACACCCTCCCCCCAGTCGAGCCACGCGCAGAGGGTGTTCGAATGCCATGCGGAATGGAGTTGTTGCCGATCTTAAACCTATCAAGAGCCTCTGCAAATATTCAAGGGAGGCCTCTTGGGAACATCTTGGGGGCCTCTTGGGGCCTTCGGTGGAGTTCTTTACGGGGCCACGGAACAATGTACTGGGCGGGAGTGACGCATGCAAGAGCAGCCAGTGGGGCTTTCGGTGGAGCTCCCTATGGAGCCACGAAGTGCTGCACTGGGTAGGGGAACCGCATGTGAGAGCAGCCACTGGGACCTTCGGTGGAGTTCCCTATGAAGCCACGAAGTGCTGTACTGGGTTAGGGAAACACATGCTAGAGCAGCCGCTGGGGCCTTCGGTGGAGCTCCCTACGGGGCCACGGAAAGCTGTGCTGGGAGGGAGAACCACATGTGAGAACAGCCAAAATGTCCTTCGGTGGAGCTCCCTACGGCGCCACGAAGTGCCGTACTGAGTTGGGTAAACGCATGCTAGAGCAGCCACTGGGACCTTCGGTGGAGCTCCCATATGGGGCCACGAAATAGTACACTGGATAGGAGCACCACGTGCGAGAGCAGCCACTGGGGCATTCGGTGGAGTTCTCTCTGTGGCCACGAAACAATGCACTGGGTGGGAGTCACTCGTGCAAGAGCAGCCACTGGGGCCTTCGGTGAAGCTCCCTACGGGCCACGAAACGCTGTACTGGGTGGGGGAACCGCATGTGAGAGCAGCCACTGGGTTCTTCGGTGGAGCTCCTCATAGGGCCACGAACCACTGCACTTGGTGTGCCGGAACACAGTCATGCGGGTGGCAGGGGCACGGACAGGAGGGAGGAGGGCGGGAGGCGATGCGGGGCGCTGTCTCTTCAATACGAGGACCCAAAACCACGGGATGGTTGGGAAGAAGCAAGGAAGGCTGAGCCCCTCCCCCACGAAAAGGGTCCCTTCTTCGGCACCCCGGCTCTGCACGGGCGTTCCGCGCCCCACACCGCTGGCCTTCCTCGCCCCCCCTCCATCGGGGGCCACGCGCTAGAGGAGCGGCCTCTCCCTCGTGGCTACGGCTCCGAGGCAGCGCAGGAAACGCCCTCAGGACCCACACTGCGAAACACGCCGCGTCGGACATTAAGATCTCCCGGCCTACAGTCGGGGCGTTGACCTAAGGAACCCTAAATAAGGAACGAGGCCCTTTTTTTCCATAAGTGAACCTTCGATTTCCTGTCGAAGACATAAGGAAAGCCTGAGGCAAGCTGTGAACACTTAAGGAACGCGGAGCCCCTCCCCAACCAAAAGGGTTCCTTCTTCAGGGCCCCGACTGTAGAGGGGGGAGGTCGCGCGCGAAAGGGTCGCGGAGAGGATACGGAATGATGGGAAGGAGGAAATCATGCAGGGGCGAGGGAGGGAGACCCAGAGGATGGGAAGAACAAGAAGAGCACCATCCGTCCTCTGGGCAGGGGTGTCTCGATGGGCTCTCTCTTCCTCTCCGCTGGCCGCGCGGCATGGATCCGAGCGCTCTTGGCACGGATGGGCCCGCGACCTGCAAGGTCTGTACTGGGCCAAAACACGGGTCTGTATCAGCAGAATCGGTAGACCCGCTTCGCTGGGTTCACTTCGGACATTTCTTCGAAATCCGTCCGTTGCAGACCATAGCTGCCCGAGACAGGCCCAAGACACCGCTTGAGAAGCTCAAAAGCGCTTCGACATTGCACCAAGAGCGCCCAAAACCCTTACCCGGGAGGTCGACAAGCCCGTCGAAATCCGGGCAAGACCCCTGGCCGCCCAAGACATGCCTAAGACGCCGCCTGTGAGGCTCCAGGAGGGCCCCGACCACGGCCCAAGAGCGCGCCCAAACCTTGCCCGAATTTTCGTCATTTTTGACGAAGCCCGGGCACGACCCCCGCTCGCCCAAGACAGGCCCAAGATACCCCCTGAGAGGACCCAAGCGCGCCACGACAGCGCCCCGAGAGCGCTCCTAAACCTTGCAACGGATTTTGGCAGGCCCAAAAACACCGCCTGAGGAGCTCAAGAGCGCTCCGCCAGTGACAATTCCGTCGACATCGAGGCGAGAGCCCCGGCCGCTGGCCGCCCGAGACATGCATGCCCACCGCCTGTGAGGCTCTAGGAGCGCCCCGACCGCGGCCCACGAGCGCGCCCAAACCTCGCCCGCATTTCGACATTTCCGACGAAGTCCGGGCGAGACCCCCGCTCGCCCAAGACAGGCCCAAGACGCCGCCTGACACCTAAGAGCGCCACGACAACACCCCGAGAGCGCCCCAAAACCTTACAACGGATTTCGCCTATTTCGTCGGAGTCCTGTGCCGATCCCTAGCTGCCCGAGCCAGGCCCAAAACACCGCCTGAGGAGCTCAGAAGCGCTCCGACAGTGCTCCAAGAGCGCCCCAAACCTCGCCCGGATTTCGACAACTTTGTCGAAGTCCGGGCAAGACCTCCTGCCGCCCAAGACATGCCCAAGACGCCGCCTGAGAGGCCCCAAGAGCGCCCCGACAACGTCCCAAGAGCGCGCCAAACCCTTGCCCGGATTTCGACAGTTCCGACGAAATCTGGGCAAGACCCCCGCTCGCCCACGACGACCCGAGACACCGCCTGAGAGGACCCAAGAGCGCCCTGACAGCGCCCCGAGGGCAGCAGCCGAACTCGGCCAGGATCAACTCGGCCAGCGCTCAACTCGGCCAAGATCGACTCGGCCAAACTCGACTCGGACCGGCTTAACTCGACCAGGCCCAACTCGGCCGGATCAATTCGGTCGGGGTCCACGCTGCAGTGGGGCGCTCGGATCAACTCGGCCGGATCATCTCGGCCAGATTAACTCGGCCAGGCTCAACCTGGCCGGGGCCCTGGATGGCTGGGGTTTTCTGTGGGAGCCATATTCGTTGTTTTGCCGCAGCTTCTGATAATGATACCCAACATTTTGCAGAAGCCGACGCGCCAAATGCGCGCCAACCGCGAGCCGCGACAAACGTGCGCTCAGCATGCAAATGCAAGTGCGTTCCACTTAACCGATCATGGGTCCATGTGACCCCACACGAACGGAACTGGTATGAATCTACATACATGCATGCATGCATGCATGCATGCATACATGCATGCATGCATGCATGCATGCATGCACGCATGCATATATGCATACATACATTGTTACATACATGCACACACGCACGCACGCACGCACGCACGCACGCATGCATGCGTGCGTGCGTGCGTGCATGCATGCATGCATGCATACATACATACATACATACATACACACATAAATGTATACATACATACATACATACATACATACATACATACATACATACATACATACATACATACATACATACATACATACATACATACATACGTACATACATACATACATACATACATACGTACATACACACATGCATACATATATACATACATACATACATACATGCATACATGTATACATACATACATACATACATGCATACGTACATACATACATACGTACATACATACATACACATACACATACAAACACACATACATACATACATACATGCATGCATGCATACAGACATACATACATACATACATACATACATATACATACATACACACATACATACATACATACACACATACATACATGCATTCACATATACATACATACATGCATACATACATACATACATACATACGTACGTACATGCATGCATGCATGCATGCATACATACATACATACATGCACACATACGTACATACACGCATACATGCATATGTGCATACATGCATATATGCATACATGCATGCATGCATGCATACATGCATACATACATACATATCGTCAAAACAAGGACCAAGCATCACAGGTTGGATGGGAACTATCCTCCTATTCATCTCACCGCGGCTCCGCGAGTCACATCCCGCCACCCCGCCGATCGATGCCCGCCTTCAAGAAGGTCGATTGGATGTATGAGGTATTGATGCGCTACGGAACTGCGCACATGTACGCACTGCGCCCATGGCCTCAGCAGCACCGTCGCTCTCGCCAAGGCTCCACCGCGAAGCTCCGCCCCAGCCCAGAAGGTGACGTGCTGCCCTAATCACAGACCAAGTGGCTGGAGAGTACTTGTGGTCGACTGCATGCCAGCGACGCTGTCCAACAAATCCACAGCAGAGCATCTCTCTCGACATATAGATATATACACACACACACACACACACACACATCTGGGCGCTGGGGGGCTTGAGGCCTTTTTTTAGAAGCCTTCGGCCCATCTTCCGCCTCTCTCGGGGTTCTTTGGTGGCCATCTCTGTTGCGCTGCATGTTTCTACACTGCATGCCCCTATTCAGCCCTGATTACGGCATCTCGCCTAGGCACCTTGTCTCGATGGGCTTGTGGGCATACGCGAAGCGTCAAGAATTAAGCCGAGTCAAGGGCCTCACGTGGAGCTCTGTTAGGGCCCTCCCGGGGCTCGTTTGGGCTTCCCGCAGCGCCCTGAGACGGGCCCAAGGGGCCCAAAGACAATCCCAAGAGGGCCCCAAGACGGCTTGAAGAGGGCTCTAAGACGGGTTCAAGAAGTCCTCCTTGCGCGCAAAGCCTAACTGTGTGCATAGAGTTGGGGCCGTTAGGCTTTCTGGAGGTTTCGGGGCTGACGTGAAGCTCTCTTGGGGTCTTCTTGGGGACCTTTTGGCCAGGATCAACTTGCCTAAATGAACTCGGCCGGCTCAACTAGGACCCGGACGAACTCGGCCGGATTATCTCGGCCAGGTCTCAATTCAGCCCGGATCAACTCGGCCAAGCGTCAACTCGGCTGGGCTCAACCAGGCCGGGGTTCAACTCGGCCCTGCTCAACTCGGCCAGATCAACTCGGCCGGGCCTCTGGCTGCAGCGGGTTGCCGAGATCAACTCGGTCGGCTCAATTGGGCCTGGCCGAGTTGAGCCTGGCCGAGTTAAGCTGAATTGGGCCTGGCCGAGTTGAGCCTGGCCGAGTTCGATCGACCCGTCTCCGAGAGCGTCCCTCAACCTTGCAACCCACCGCCTGAGAAGTTCAAGAGCGCTCTGGCAATGCCCCAAGAGCGCCCCAAAACCTTACCCGGAGTTCGACACCTTTGTCGAAGTCCGGGCAAGACCCCCGGCCGCCCAACACAGGCCTAAGACGCCGCCTGAGAAGTCCCAAGAGCGCCCCGACAGCGACCCAAGAGCGCGCCAAAACCTTGCCCAGATTTCGACGGAATTGTCAGTGCAGAGAGGGCTCGAGATACAACAAAAACGCCGACTCAGGCCCATGGGAGCAACTGAAGGCAGCTGCAAGTGCGGAGGCAAGAGGTGCAAGTGGAAGTGGCAGAAGAGGAGGTACCCATGAGGGCGCAGAGTAACCAAATACACTTCCGTTGGGAGTAGGGAGAAATACACCCCCCTCCTCCTCCTCCTCCTCCCTCCTCCTCCTCCTCCTCCTCTCCTCCCCCTCCTCCTCCTCCTCCCCCTCCTCCTCCTCCCCCCCCCCCCCCTCCCACGCCTCGGTGCCAGGCGAGGGCGGCGCCCTCCTGCTTCCAGATCGTCATCCGCTCCAGCGCGGCGGCCTCCGCGGACTCCGCGCGGGCCCGCGCCACCAGCGCCGGCACGCGGGCGCGGAGCTCCCGGAGGAGCTCAGCCTGGGAAGGCCCCAGCCGCTGCGCAGGGGCCGACCGACGCGGCACTCCTAGCTAAGAGCAAAGAGCATACAGGGCAGGTGTTTTTATACATAGGATTTCTAAACATATAGGATCTGTGATACATGGTTAATGTACGAGTACATGTATGCCTGAACTCAACGTTGTTTTTGTGACTAAATCCCTGCATTCTAATGCATGGTCCGCACGCGGAACATGTATTAAAAACGGCACTGTAGAGCCGACGTGTTAAATTGGCGGCGCGCACAAGGGGGTGGAGGGAAGGGGGGTGGGCTTCTTAGACGGAGGGAGGCTGCTTCTTAGAAGGCGCCGGCCTCACATCTACAGAGAAGGCCCGCGCCTTCTAAGAAGCAGGGGTGCTTCTAAGAAGCCTTCCCCCCTCCCCCTACCCCCCTGTGCGCGTGGCCGACTAAGACAAGAAAGCCCCTTCCAGAAACAACACAAAAGGTTCCTCGAATACTCTTGGATGGGCCCATAGGCAAGCCAGGACGCCTCGCCACTGCTTGACATCAACTCGGGTGCGCGCCGACAGGAGCGCATGGAGGATCCGTGGACCTGGCGCGCGGGCGCCATGCGCTGCACGATTTGGCGAAGGAGCCTGTCGAATGCGCATGGGAGCGGGACCTATCGCTAGTGGACAAGCGCGTTCCATTACTCGAAAAGTAACTGCGCGCCAATGGCCTGCATCTGCAGCGGGGGACCTACGATCCACTGCATGGGGGCGAGCATGTGGTGTTCGGACGTGTGCGAGTACGCACTTTGCCAGTAGGGGCACGCGCTCGCGGAGCTGGTCCACGCGCCCTCATCCATGCCCTGCTTGCTGGCGCTGCCCGATTTGGCGAAGGAGCCCGTCGAATTCGCATGGGAGCGGGACCCATCGCCAGTCCACGCGCCCTCACACATGCCTGCGCTTCCTCGATCCAGGGGGGAAGCCGGCCCTGCCCCGGCGTGGCTTCGTGGTTCTCACCCTTGCCGCATGCAACTGACAGCTCGGCCCTCGGCGGGAGCCCCCGTCTTGTGCACGGGTCCGCCAGAGTGGAACATCATTATGCGCAGTGTCCCAGGTAGGTTGTTACCGTTGCCTGCAACCCACTGGCGCCCCTGAGGTTGGAGACAGAGAGAAGGAAGATTGAGCACGGGGCTGGCGGAGCACAAGGGGGCCCCAAGACGCAGGAGGAGGGAGACCCTAACCATACCAAGCAGGGGGGGGGAATCCAGCCAGGCCCAGGGCTTTTCCTCCTCGAGGGGGGGAAATCCCGAACCAACCCTGGTGAGCCTCCTCTTTTCCGGCATGGCTAAGGTCGGGAACTTCTGCAGCGTGTGTGTCCCAGCGACACGCTGTGTCCTGCGAGCGGATGGCGAAGTCGTTCCGCGCCGCCAGGCGGGAGCCTCGGGAAACCTTGGGACGTTGACGCCTCGGATGCGTGGAGTGGCTAGCGTGTCGCACCGAAGCGCGGTGGGCCAGAGCCGGCGGAGCGACACGCCGTCCAAAAGTTCCCGACTGTAGAGTTCGCTGTCCCCCAACGAGGTCGCAAAACATCCTCGACGTGATAAAGGACCGGGTAGTGAACGTTTTTTGATTCGGCGTTTCGACATTGGGCGGAAGAGGGGAGGGGGGGGGGTCTGGCTCTGGACCTCTGCTTAGTGCGACTGTTTGCAGCAAGGCGTCCTATGGGGGGAGAATCCACCTGCTCAAAACAGGCACCAAAAGCAGCCAAGATCTACTCGGTGGTGGGGGAGGGGGGGGGGGGGCGGGGCGACGGCCCGCGCCGATCGGCAGAACGATGAATAAGAGAACGATCACGTTGCGTCCTGATGTTTCTGCACGGAGGCCACCAAACTCCCGACCCTTTCCCAGGGATCACTTCTCGACCTGGACCGCTCTTGGCGACGGTCCCTGGGCCTGTGAACGGCCTCCAGCTCGAAAGCTACGAGCAACAACACCACCACCAACAACAACACTCATGTTGAGACTGTTTTCGTGCGTGGTTTTGTTAGCCAAATGATCAAGGATGCTCCTCGATGGTCCTCGCCGCAGGAAAAATGCACACGTCTGAGCGATGCCAAGATTCTTCAAGAGCAAGAGTTCACAAAAAAAGCGTCGTCGATACTCAAAACGTCGGGATCTTGGAATCAGCGAAGCTTCTGCAGTGCCAGGGCTAGGGGCGCCAAGGTTCCACACCGCGCCGCGTCGGCGAGAGGCGCGCGACCTGGGGCCCCTATGCACTCACTCGGGCCCGCCCTTCCTTCAGGGGGGGCGATAAACAAAGGGGGAGACCGGCTCAGGGGGAGAACCTCGGGCTGGTATCGGCGATACCTCGCCGATAAATCGGCGATGACCCCCCGAAAGCGAAGCCGCACGTTCCTGGGCGGGGTTGGCCATCAGGCCCTATCGGCAACGAGTGGGCCGCTGGAGGTCGATGCGTCCCTCATGGTCCTATCCCCTCCGACGTTGCCTCCGAATGTCGGGAGGCCCGAGCGCCTCCTTCTCACCAAGGTTGTGAAGGTAGCACTTCGACAGGTCCACCATGGCTGCGAGGCTTGACGGTCCCCGCCCTGCTGCGTGCCAGCGTCAGTGTCCTCAGCCTCTTCATCCTGCTCCGCCTCCTCCATCCCAAAGTCACTTACCCTCGCGCCCCGCGCTCCTGATGTGCAGCAAGAATCGTTTCCTTGCGCCTGAGGAGGGGCACGCTTCCATTGAAGCTGAGAGATGCGAAGCGCGATTATGCTCGGGCCCCCGAAGGTGACCTGGTCCTCGTCCTTTCCTCCGTCGTCCTCCTCCTACTCCCCCTGCCCCCGCCAACATGCAGATAACTCCCCCTCACCCCCACTTCTCTTTCTCAATATGTCTGTCTGTCTGTTTGTTTCTGTCTATCTGTCTGTCTGTCTATCTGTATGTCTGTCTGCCTGTCTGTCTGCCTGCCTGTCTGTCTGCCTGTCTGTCTGTCTGTCTGCCTGTCTATCTGTCCCTGTCAATATCTCTCTCTCTCTCTCTTTCTGCCCGTCTCGTTATTTGTTGTTGTTGTTTTTTTTCTCTCTCTCTCTCTCTCTCTCTTTCTGTCTGACTGTCCGTCGCGAGGAACCAGTCGGCCTTCAGGCAGCCGCGGTCCCCCGCCGGTTGGTCGCTGAACATGCACGCGCAACTCGTCAGGGTCCCCACCCTGCCCGCATCCCCGCCCTGGGCTGCGCGGCGCAGCTCCGCGCCGAGCCACGCTAAAAGGCGTGAGCATCTCGCGCGCCGCCGCGCAGGCCCCCGACGGGCTGTGCTTGCGGGGGTACAGTCGGGGCGTTGACCTAAGGAACCCTATATAAGGAACGAGGCCCCTCTTCTCCATAAGTTGAACTTCGATTTCCCGCCGAAAACCTAAGGAAAACCTGAGGCAAGCTGTGAAACCATCAAGGAACACCGAGCCCCTCCCCAACGAAAAGCGTTCCTTCTCCAGGGCCCCGACTGTACTGCAGCACTGCCGTGGGAGGGACCGCAGAGAGCTCCACTTCCAGAGCCCTCAGAATAGACCGAACCTGGGGCCCGTGCTGCTCCGGTGCTCGCCGCCACTCCCTGCGCCGCGCGACGCCGCCCATCGAGGCTCCAGCACCTGCCCCCTTCGGCTCGCACCCGGGCGGCCGAGTGCAGAGGGCTGCTGTGCGCTCCCAGGCCGAGGCTGCGTCGACGCCCGCGCTGCGGCCCCGCGCGCCGGAGAGACTCCCGCGGGCGCAGCAACGCCGGCTCCAAAGTGAACCCCGGGGTGCTGCTCACACGGGGCTCGCCTCCCACGGCGTCCCCTTCGGCGAAGCCGCCGAGCCTTGCGGGCCCGGCGGGCCCGGGAGGAGCGGGGGGCGGTGGCGGGGCCCAGGGCGGCGGGCGGATGCTGCGGGCGTGCGCTCCCAGGCCCTCTCTTTCCCCCGGGATGCCACCGACGCTGGGGAGGGGGGGAGGCGACAGAGCCAGCATCGCCTGGAGATCCTCCTGAGGGATGCCTTACGCGCGTCGCCTCGTCGGCGAGCAACTGGGATGCCTCGAGACGGGCCCCCTGCAGATCTGCAGATTGGTGCGAGCCAGCCATCAGCCCCTGGATCTCCAGTTGCACCTCCGCGCGGGTCGTCGGCGCCCCGTCGCACAGGGCCGCGGCGATGGCCCCCGCCGCCCGAGGGCGGGCCATGCCTGACCAGGGCTTCGGCTGCGCGCCGAGGCGGCTCCGCGCTGGCACGGGAGGCACCTCTGGCAGTGGCGCGGTCCTCCGCGTCGGCGTCGTCCTGTGGGCCGCCGCCCCTCGACGACGACGACGACGACGACGACGACGACGACGACGACGACGACGACGACGACGACGACGACGACGACGACGACGACGACGACGACGACCCCCCCCCCGCGACCCGGGGTGGCAGACTCGTCTCCCTCGACGGGCGCCGCGCCGCGAGTGGCCACGAGGCCAGCGCGGAAGGCCGGAGACGCCCGCAGGGTGTGGCCAGCACGCGCACGCCCGCGAGCCGATCCGGCCGGGACCAGCCCGTCGGTGTCTCCCGCGCCCAGCGGGGCGAGAGCCTCCAGATCCGTCTCGGAAATCTCTAGATCGACCACCAAAGCAGGAGCGGCCGTGCTCAGCGGGCGCGGAGCCGTGGCGCGCAAGGGCACGCTGACCACCTGGAAGGGGCCGACTAGCCCTGAGAATCCGTCCGCCTCCGCCACGTTGAGCCTGTCGGCGGTACGGAAGGACCCGGGCAACGCCAGCAGGATCCCCCTCGGCCGTGAGGCTGGAGGAGATCGCGGCACAGCTCGCCTCGCCCTCGTCCAACCGCCAGCGATCGTAGCGAGTGGCTGACGGAGGTCCCCCAGGAGCACCTGGGGCCCTTCGTCGCTGGAGTCCTCCAGGAGCACCTCTCTCGGGCGGCGCGCGCCAGAGGGGGAGGCGGAGGGGGAGGAGGAGGAGGAGGAGGAGGAGGAGGAGGAGGAGGAGGAGGAGGAGGAGGAGGAGGAGGAGGAGAGAACGGGTGGAGGTCGGGCCAGACTGGCCCATCGGGGATGGCGAGGCCCCCCCGACGCCGGAGCAGCGGCTGCCATGGCTGGCGGCGCACGCGCGGCCCGTGGGATGGAAGAGCAGCGGGCGGGCCCTGCCAAAAAAGGCCCGTGCGCGCGCTCCACTGCCCGCGCGCTCCTGGGCCGCAGGACGGGGCGCGCCGCGCACCGCGACCGCGCCCGGCGGCGGCTCCGATCGCGGCCCGCGCGCGAGGGGGGCCCGCGAGGCCCCACCCAGAGGGCCGCGAGAGCCCCGACGCAGCAGCCCCCGCAGAGGCTGCAGCCGGAAGTGTCCCCGAGCAGGGCCACGACCGTCGAGAGCAGCACGGGGATCACCCCGCTGCTCAGATCCACCGCAGGCCACACCCCGAGCGGCAGAAGGCACAACCCCCCGCCGCCCGAGCCGGCCTGAGCGAACCACGGGGCCCCCGCGGAGGGAACGCCGAGGTCCGCAAGTGGGGGAAGCGGTTGGCCCACGAACCGCTCGTAGAGCGCGGCTCGTTAGCCCTGAAAGAGCAACGCCCCCGCCCCCTCGATGGCGGCCCGGGCGAGCGCCTGCGAAAAGCGCCCGCCCCAGAAGCCACGCGAGGGTTTGGGCCGAGAAGCTACAGAAGCCCAGACGCGCACGATGGAGCAGAATAAGAGAAAACGCATCGTGCAAGAGGGCTGAGGGGGCCTTGCTTGCTACGCGGGGCGCCACTGCTGTTGCGTGTCGAAACGGGCGCATCGAAGCAGCTTCCTCCTCCTCCTCCATACAACTCGGTGCCTCTGTGCAGCTTCCGTGCCTCGATATCGTCGGGAAGAAGAAAAGGGAGGGGAATGCCAGGGCGGCAGGGAGGAGATGAGGACTGAGGTGGAGGAGGGAGGACGGCAGCGAGGAGTGCACAGTGGAGGACGAGGAGGACGAGGAGGCGGGCGGGGGGAACAGGTCGGTAGAGAATGAGGCAGGGAGGGCGGCCCAAATCTCCGGCGCCATGCTTTTGTTTCGCAGCGCGGGGCCCCAGGAGTCTGGGCCCATTACCTGGGACTGGCTCTTCGTCCCGAGCCGCCTCTTGACGGGTCCCAGGGCCCGGCGAGGGCCCCCGGATGCCGAAACCCGACCAATAAGACCTCCCGCCGCGCCTTCTTTCGCGACGGGAGGGGATCGGGGGAGAAGCGACTGGCACGCCCGAAAGACGTGCGGAGCAACCGGGCATGATGCCCAACAGCATGCCTCACGAAGCCGGCAGCGGCAGCGGCTGGGCAGGCACCCTTGCGCCTCGAGTGAGCAGCGCCCGCGGCGACACAGACAGCGGACCCTCTTCAAAACGGACGATGGATGCTGCTGGTCCTCGGCCACGTTCTTCTCGTGCCCACTCCGAGTACCCGCCTCTCAGAGAGGGTGGCCTGCCGAGAGCCCTCCGCAACGCCCGCGGCAACACCGCGACAGCGAACCCTGTTCAAGACGAGCAGGAACTGCCGTTGGCCTTCGCCCCCAGTCTTGGAGGAGGAGGAGGAGGAAGAGGAGGGAGGAGGAAAGAGGAGGAGGAGGAGGAGGAGGGGGAGGAGAAGGAGAAGGAGGAGGGTTTAAGGTTTAGGGTTCAGGGATCGTCGGTCTGGTGGCACACTCCGATCCGTTGGCGGAAACCATATCCGCATCCACGGCCTCGCTAGCCTGGGCCATGGGCAGTGGCCCAACGGATACGGGGCTTTGTTGCAGAAGATGCCCCCGCACGAAACGTGTCCGTACGACCGCGTATCCGCGAGGATCGTGCCCCAGAATCCACACCGCGAGGGCGTGGATGTGGATACGTTCGCCGCTCGTGGGGGGCCTGAGAGGTTCAAAACGGGCTCTCCCAAGAATTGGCTGAAAGGGGGTTGGGAAACATCTGTGCACCCATCCCCCTCTTCTTCCAGTACGAGCCCAGGGGGGAAATCAGAGGGGGCTGGCATTCTCAGAGGGCGGCGGGGCTTCTCAGAAACCCTCGCGCTTCCTCGCAAGTTTTCTCAGCCTCCTCCGGAGCCTCAGACGGCTTCTAAGCAGGCGCGAGAACCTCTGAGAACCCCCGCCGCCCTCCGAGAAGGCCTGCTCCTTGTCACCTCACGCCACGAAGACGTAGACACAAACACGCGCCGACGAGTTTTCCCCGTGCCTTCCAGGGAGGGTGGCGGTGTACAGCATCGCTGTCTCTTCATGTTACTCCACAGAGCTGAACCTAAACAATGTTTTTCGTCTTCGTGTTGGTGCCGTTGTCCCTCGCTGTTGTGTCGAATCCGCCGTTCCCTCAAGACGACGTCGACACGGAAACGGCCCACGAAGTCGCCAGAAACATCGTGGAGGTCCAGCCCTCTCCACGAAACCCAGAAAACGCTCTGCTCGAGGGTGTCCGTGCCTCTTTTTTTTTTCTCTTTCTCTCTCTCTCTCTCTCTCTCTCTCTCTCTCTCTGTGGTGCACACTGCCTCTCCGGGGCCCGCCGCCGCAGTCCACGTCGATGGCACCAAAGGGGGGGTCGGCAACGCCCGGCTTGGTGGGCCCGCTTCCCACCACCGCCGCCGCCAGAAGCAGGGGGGGGCACCTCCCCCATCCCCACCTCCTGCTCCTCCTCCTCCTCCTGCTCCTGCTCCTGCTCCTCCTCCTCCTCCTCCTCCTCCTCCTCCTCCTCCTCCTCCTCCTCCTCCTCCTCCTCCTCCTCCTCCTCTCCCTCCTCCCCCTCCTGCTCCTGCTCCTGCTCCTCCTCCTCCTCCTCCTCCTCATCCTCCTCCTTCTCGTCCTCCCTCCCTTCCCCCCTCCAACTTATGGTGGTGGTGGTGGAAGACAGGCCCACGACGGGGCTCTCTCACAGAAGGGGGGGGGGCGGGCCGAGACGCCTCTCGGGGCGCGGTGGACCCTGCTCGCAGGAGCCCGTGCTCGCGGAGCGGGGCGCCAGAGGGCGGCCTCCCCCGAGCCCCGCGGGCTGCGGGAGGCAGAGGGGTTCCTCGGACGAGGGGCAGCAGAGAAGGGAGGAGAGGGGAGGAGGGTTGGGGCGCGGAGGAGAGGCGCGGGGGCCGCGGGGGAACGGGGGGGAGAGGGGCGCCTCGCACACGGAGGGGGGAGGGAGGGAGGGAGGCAGAGGTGGAGGGAGGGGGGAGGGAGAGAGGGAGGGAGATAGGGAGATACACATATATACACACACTCATAAATAACCATAGCCATAAACATACACACCCACACATATACCTACCTATACATGAATGCATGTGTGTACACATGTACACACACAGGGTAATGATGACAACCAGACAAATGGGCGGAAACTGAACAATAGACACACGCACACATCTACAAAAACATTGATCGATATGCACACACTAGTGTGAACTCGTGGGTTAAATCCACGGAGTTGAGCGGATCGAGGTTTGGTGGCGCGCGCTGAGTAGTAGTGCGTCGCTGTCAGCTGCTGCCTCTGACCCCTTCCAGCCCTCGGGGGCCTCTTGGGGCGTCATTGAGCTTCTCGGGGGCCTCTTGGGGGCGCCTCGGAGGCAGGAGGTCTTGGGGCCAGCATGGGGCGGAGGGCTCGGAATGTCAGGTTCCACCTCTGCTCCCCCTCTCGGGCTCCTCTTGGAGCTGTCTAGGAGGCCTCTTGGGCTCGCCCCGAGGCCTCTGGGGCCCTCTTGGTGGCCTCTTGGGCCATCGTGGGCCCTCTTGCCGGTCTGTTGGGCCGTCTTCGGGTGATCTGGGCAGCGTCTCGGGCCGTCTGGGACGTCCTGAAGACGAAGAGGTCACTGAAATCGCACACAAGCGCACAAAAGACTTGGACTATGTTTTCCTCTTGGGGGGTCGTCCGGGGGCCCCTTCGGGCGTCTTCGGGGCCTCTTGGGTCGCTTTGAGGCGTCCTGGGGCCTTCGGGGGCTCTCTTCGGGGCAGCTTTTGCTGTCTCCAGGCGTCCTGGGGCAGCTCTGGGGCTCTCTGGCGCCCGGAGGGCTGGGGGCCTCCCCAGACACACAAGGCATCTGGTCGATGCATATCACTGGATCCGCATGCTTGCAAACACGCTCGTCCGTACCTGCACAGATACATGTAGCTTTAGGGACAGAGATGGCCGACTTCAGAAGACCTGGGGTCAAAACGTGTTGATGCATCCCCTTTAATTCCGCCGCCGTCCGCCGAGCTTCCGCAGAGGGCGAGACGAGCCAAAGGCGAGACCCTTTCTGGAACGCCCTGTGTATACATCAAGAGGGGGCGAGCTAGCGAGCGCGAGAGCGGGATATCGGGATCCGCAAACAAAGGGAAAGACGGCGAGAGAAAGAGAGAGAGGGAGACAATGAGAGAGAGAGAACCACAGAAATGACGGAGGGTTAGATACGTGGAGAAACATCTCGCTTCCAGGTAGAAAACAAGCGCACACACACATACACTGGCATATATACATGTATATACGTAGACGTGTAAATATACACGTGCACATATATATATATATATATATATATATATATTCGATCTACAGATGTACCAGCGCAACGACAACATAAGGCACGACTAAACATATAAGCGTGGGAATACGTAGAGGTCTGCGGCAAGGTGGAGAAGCAAGGCGACAGAGATAATACGAGAACAACAATGCCGAGACGGAGAGAGAGAAAGAGAGAAAGAGATGCGCGGCGTGCACAATATGTACGCAATAATCGGCTTTGGGACGCTCCCACCATACATCTCCGCCAGCCTCCTCACTCCCAATCGCTCGCTCGCTCGCTGATCCCCCTCCTCTTCTCTTCATGATCACCATACTCATCTTCCTCCGACCTCCTCGTGTTCACTCTTCGCCCCTCCCCAGCCCCTCCCTCCTCCCCCTCGTCGTCCTGGCGCTGCTCGTCCTCTTCCTTCTCATCCTCCCCGTCCTTCCTGGAGGCCTTCGGAGGCCCCTGGATGCCCCGAGCACGTCACAAGATCTCGATCCTCCTCCTCCTTCCCCCGCCCGCTCCCCCTTAACCTCCTCCAACTGCTCCCCCCTGACGCCTGACGCTGGTGGCGGGTTCGTCTGGTGACTGGCGCCGTCGACCTCCCACCACACCCACAGGGATCTGGCGGTGCGGTGGAGGGCCTTCCTCTGAAAATGGGCCGGTCGAGTCCTTCTCCTCAGCTCCAGACCTACATGGTGGTTCATGGGTTGGGTTAGGACGCCTTCCATACCGCGCATGTTGCCCGTGAAGTGTAACTCTTGAGGCCGACCTTAAGGCCGTGTAGGCCGACAGTATCATGCTTCATCCTCCTCCTCCTCCTCCTCCTCCTCCTCCTCCTCCTCCTCCTCCTCCGTCCTCCGTCCTCATGCTCAATCCCGTGCTCTCTCACCCATCCTCCCCCACACTCCCATCCTCCTCCTCATCCTTCGCCATCCTCGACCATCCGTCCTCCTCCTCCTCTTCCTCCTCCTCCTCCTCTATCCTCTGTCCTCCTCGGTCCATTCTCCCTCCTCCTCCTCCTCCTCCCCTCCTCCTCTCCTCCTCCTCCGCCTCCTCCTCCTCCTCCTCCTCCTCATCCCACCTTTCCTCACCCATACCCCCTCCTCCTCCTCCTCCTCCTCCTCTCCTCCTTCTCCTCCTCCTCCTCCTCTTGTTCCTCTCTCCATCCTCCTCCCCCTCCTCCTCCTCCTCCTCCTCCTCCTCCTCCTCCTCCTCCTCCTCCTCCTCCTCCTCCTCCTCCCCCTCCCACCGTTCCTCCTCCCCCTCCTCCTCCGCGCGGGCCCAGGCGGCGCGCGATGGGCTGCTTCTGGCCGCCGGCGCCGCGGCCGCCCCGCCGCGCGCCCGCCCGCCCCCGAGGGCGCGCGCCGAGGCCGGGCGCGCCGAGGCGCCTCGGCAGCGCCAGCGGCGGCCGCTGACGCGCCGAGGCGCGTCGGCCGCGCGCGCCGAGGCGGCCGGGGGGGAACCGCTGCTGAAAGACGTGGACGCCCGAAGTGGGTACGGAAAGAATGGGTACAGTCGGGGCGTTGACCTAAGGAACGATAAATAAGGAACGAGGCCCCTTTTTTCCATAAGTTAACCTTCGATTTCCTATCGAAAACATAAGGAAAACCTGAGGCAAGCTGTGAAACACTTAAGGAACGCGGAGCCCCTCCCCAACGAAAAGGGTTCCTTCTTCAAGACCCCTACTGTACGGAAAGAATGGGTACAATGCCCAACAGCGGTTCCTGTTCATTCTGAACAGGACTCGCTGTCGGTGTCGCCGCGGCCTGTGTACATCTGAGACGGGAGGCCGCCTGCCCAACAGCGGCCGCTGTTGGTTTGGGACAACGTTTATGTTGGGCATTGTACCCATTCTTTCCGTACCCACTTCGGGCGTCCAAAAGTGAGGCCAGGGCCAGGTCTCGGGGCTCCCGCCGCACGAGCAGGGGGAGAAGTGGGAGGGACGAGCTGGCAGACCACCCCAACCCAGCCCTAAGGCCTGGATTTCGGGGTGTATATATATATATATATATATATATACACACACGGGCTTCATGTGCGTCTTTGCTTGTGTTCCACGACGCCCCCGTCACTGGGAATGGGGGGCAAATTGGGGCCTTCGGGTCGGGATGGGGTGTTTGGGAGGGTGGTGAGGGAGGGAGGGAGGGAACGTGTAATTCTGAGTTGTGGTGCTTCCCATCCGAGGGGGGTAGTAGGCGTCTTAAGGTGTAGGGATGTGTGTCACGACTGGGATCCCCTTGGACAAAAAATCCACCAACAAAGAGCGAAATACAAGCACGAGCGCACAAACACAAAACGCGAAACAAAAAGGCATGCCCAGTTGTGTGTCTGGGGGAATACTTTGTGTTGCACGATGTGTCGGCACAAACTCCGTTGTGATTCTATCGGAAAACGTGAAACAATATGTGTGTTGCACTTGTGTTACGCTTTTTGTTGTGGGCGTTCTGGATTGTTTGTTGTGCTGGTTGCACCACTTTCTGTTTTCCCATAAACTGGTTGACGAGCTAGTTTTTGTTTTTGTTCAGGAGACCGCAGCTTTCAGTTGTCGCTGAAGGAAGGAAGGAGGACAGCTTACTGAGTTCGCTTGCTTGATCAATACGCTGACGCGAAAATCGCACACACCTGCGAGTGATGGTTCAACCCTGAGCGACCGTAGCTTCCTGACAACCGAGATCGCTCAACGCAGGCGGAGTCCAGGCCGCCGGGGGCCTTCCGCCCAGACCCGCGCTGGCATCGCCGCCGCGCCGACAGGACACGAGCCTGACGTGGGCAAACGCCCTCTCGCGAGCGGCGAACCTGTCCGTGTCCACGCCCTCGTGGAGGCGGAGGAGGAGGCGGGGGAGGAGGAGGACCAGTGGAAACCCAAGAGTCATCAACGGTGCTGGGATTAACCCTCCCTCCAAGCTCCCTCTTCATAGGCGCCTGCAACGGGTCATTTCCATTGAGTCAACTGCGTCGCTGGAAGACAACAGTTTGAAGATCCTGAAGCGTGCCAAAATCGGGATTTCAACGCCACGTATCAACCTGCCTGCTGCGTCTTGACGATCCAGAATCGTGCCAGAACGCCGTTTTTGGGACTCCAGCACAGCGGAACAACAGAACTGCTGTGCCCGCATAATCCTGAATCCTTCCGAAACACCATTTCTGGTATGTTGATCGTGGCAAACCGTGAAACTATTGCACATTGAAACAACGAGTACGCGCGGCGCTAAGGCGAGAACTACATGTTGAAAAGGAACCGCCCTCAATCCATGACATTCTTGCTAATTAAAAACGAATAGAATATGCGCGGCGCTAAAGCGAGAACCACAGTTTGAAAACCACCCGCCCTCAATCCGCGAAACTCTTGCAAAATTCAAAAACGAATGTGCGCGGCGCTAAGGCGAGAGCCACATTTTGAAAACCACCCACCCTCAATCCGTGAAGCTCTTGCAAATGCTGAATACGAATGTGCGCCGCGCCAAGGCGAGAACCACATTTGAAAAGGAACCGCCCTCAATCCGTGAAACTCTTGCAAATGTTGAAAACGAACGTGCGCGGCGCTAAAGCCACATTTTGAAAACCACCCGCCTTCAATCCGTGAAACTCTTGCAAATGTTGAAAACGAATGTGCGCGGCGCTAAGTTGAGAGGCACATTTTGCAAACCACCCGCCCTCCATCTGTCAAAACTGTTGTCGCTTTTTAAACTTCAGAATTGAAAATGGTGAGAAACTCTCAGGCGGAGCGCCCGGCCTGCCCGAAAAACTGGCCTCGGGGTGCGTCGGGGAGGAGTTGTCTCTAAGGAGAAGGAGTGGAGGAGGTGCAAGAGGAGGAAGTGCAGGAGGAGGAGGAGGAGGAGGAGGAGGAGGAGGAGGAGGATGGAGGAGGAGGAGGAGGAGGAGGAGGAGGGAGGAGGAGGATGGAGGAGGAGGATGGAGGAGGAGGAGGAGGATGGAGGAGGAGGAGGAGGAGGATGGAGGAGGAGGAGGAGGAGGATGGAGGAGGAGGATGGAGTAGGAGGAGGAGGAGGATGGAGGAGGAGGAGGAGGAGGATGGAAGGAGGAGGGAGGGAGGAGGAGGATGGAGGAGGAGGGAGGAGGAGGAGGAGGGGAGGAGGAGGGAGGAGGAGGAGGAGGATGGAGGAGGAGAAGGAGGAGGAGGAGAAATTCTGGGGCACAGTCTCGCGGGTAATGACACGGTCGGATGCACTCCGCGCTGGGGGGGACATCTCCGACAACAGCGCCCTATACGTCTGCGGGGTCGCGGCCCCCGGAGCCGCCCGACCCGCCGGGCCTCAGATGCGGTCTGCTCCAGTCGCACTCGAGGACCACATCCCAGAAATCAATTTCGAGCACCCAGAAGAGTGTCGAAAAAGTGTCGAGGAAGTCTCGAACTGGTGTCGTACGAGTGCCTCCCAGGGCCCGACGCGTGAAGACCCTCACGTTTCGGTACTTTCTTGGTGCTCAACATTATTTCTGGTGCTCAAGGCTGAAGCAGGTTGGAACATCATGAATCATAAGGATACAGATGTGTCTCGCCCGCGAGGATGATGCTGCTTCCATCTCGGGGGCGCGCAAACATGGATTAGCGATCCATGGATTTGGCGCGCGGTCGCCAAATCCATGGATCGGGGGAGGTGCCCTCCCCAAAATGCGATCTTTGCCGCCTCGCTCGGCGGCGGAAATCCTCGATGTCCCATGGAAACGGGAAGTGTCGCTAATCCACGCCCCCTTAATCCATGTTTGCGATCGCCTGACCATCGTAGTTGAGGACCATACCCCAGAAACCAGTTCGCGCGCACCCCAAGCAACATCGAAACAATGTCGAGCGAGCATCGCCTCCCCGGGGCCCGACACGCGACAGCCTTCCAGTTTCGGCACTTCCTTGGTGCTCGACATATTCTCTCTGGTGCTCAAGGCTAAAAGTAGGTTGGAGCATCCTAACGCGAGGGGGGAGTGGAGGGATAGAAGGAGTAAGGAAAAGCTTTCCTTGCCCCTTCACAGCATCGAACGCTCCGTCGACCGTCACACCAGCATCGTCCGAAAGCGTGCCCTCGAAAACGCTGAGCGGGGAGGGCAGCACCGAAGACCACACCGCACGTTGGCCCTCGGGCAGCGCCTCGTGGGGCACACGCCGGGCCTGGACGGCCAACGCCTGCAACGAGCAGCGGAGCTGCGAAAGTCTATGCTTTGAATATTGACTGCCCTGCACCGCGCTTGACCACTCCACTGCTCGCGCAAACATCCCACCCACCCACCCGCAACTTGGTTTGCAAAATCTCTTAAGACCGTGACGGTAGGTACCACATGGCACTTGGGAACAACAGCGACGCCGACGACGACAGCGACAACGACGATGACGAGCAGCGGAGCTGCGAAAGTCTATGTTTTGAATACAAGCGCTCGCGGCTCCGCTCGGACTTCCCAGATCTGAGGATCGTTGATCCGACCCCCATCCCCAGCGGTGTGGCCTGGGCCCCACTGGCCGATTTGCCCCCCTGGATGGGGATATAGGCCGTTCCCTTCGGGTTTCGAGGGGTGCATCCCCAACTGGGGAGGTAATTTGGTGGGGGTCTTGAAGGGGATGGGGATGGGGATGGGGATTGGATAAACGATACCGCAGAAAAGAAAACGACACAGATGTTCGCAGTCCGCTCGGACTTCCCAGCTCTGCGCCAGGCCCCCTTCGCAGCGCCACTGGCGCCGCCCCCGGCGCGCCCCGCGCGCTGGGGACGGGGAAAGGGCCCAGCGCCGATGCAGAAAATCCGCGCGGAGCTCCGGAATCGTATATGTTTATGCTGATTTTTCTCCTCGGGGGAGGGAGATAGAAGGGAGGGAGGGAGGGAGGGAGGGAGGGAGCGAGGAGGGGGAGAGGATTCACGTCTGGGCAAGCCCCCTGCGGTGCGTTGACCCAGCCGGGGCATTCCACGCATGACCAGCCTCCCGGTGCTGATGCACTGGGAGCCCTGCGCACTGCACACGAAAAACGTATGCTTGCCGGCGGAAGCCGCCAAACAAATACGAGGCGCCACGGATCAATACGCTGGCGCGAAAATCGCCCACACGTGCGAGGGCTTTCCGGTGAGAGGGCAGGCCGTGCCCTCTGGGATGGGCTCGTTCTCCAGCTCGAACGGGTAACATCTCAGGGTGGCGCCCGTCTCATCCTGCATGGCTCCAGAAGCCCTGGGCACGGCAGCTTCGCCTCGTGACGCCCTGCGCGCTGCTTCCTGACGCCGCGCGGAGCCCTCCGCCGGAGCAGACCGCGGCTGCCCGACGGTCCGAGGCGTTCAACACTGGCGGCGCCCAGGCCGCCGAAGGCCTCAACCTCGCATGCCCGCTCCGCGAGGGGCATCCGCGGCAGAAGCGCCCCTTGTCCGCGGGGTCGCGGCCCAGGGGCCGGGCCCGCGAGGCCGCGGATACGGATATGCTTTTCGCCCACGACCTCCGCCCCTCCTCGGGATCCACCACCCAGGGGGGGGGACCCTGAGGCGGAGCATGAGCTCGACCCGTCGGTGCACCGAACTGCTGCGAACAGATGCCCCCCGCATGCCCCACCCACTGGCAACTATCTGGGGCTGCCGGCGGCTGGGGGGCACCTGTTCTGGGCGGTCCAGTGCAAAAACCGATCGAAGTCACACACACACACACACACACACACCCTGGCGGGATCCCGACCTTCTTACTTCCCATGCTTCCGCCGAGCTTCCTTCAGAATCGGGGATCTTCCGACCCGGGTCATATCCAGACACGGGCCAGTCAGGCCTCGCAGGATCCTGCAGGATCCGGCAGGATCCTCCACCCGAGCCGGGGTCAATGCGCCCCTGGCTCTGCAGGATCCTGCAGGATCCGGCGCTCGGGCTGACCCCCGTTTGCATTGGCCCCCGCCTCTTGAGCTCCGGCAGAAGACGTTGCTTCGATCCGCCTCCCGCGCCACGCTCTGCGGGCCTCCTGCCCGACGGGGGCGCGGGGGCACGGCTCTCTGAGTGCTCGGAGGCGGTACAGAAAACAATTGCGGAGCGCCCGTCCTGAAGTCTCTCCTCGTCCTCGCTGTCGCCGCCCCACGGCACTATCAGCATGCCCGGGGTCGGCTCCTTCAGCCTGGCGCCGAGTTGCGATTGCTTGCGGCGGGTCCCCCAGCAGTTTTCCTGTTAAATCCGTCTGCAGGGGGACACGCCCGACCTAAACGGAAGCATGACCCTTCTGAAGGGGCCCCAGGACACACAAATCAACACACACAAATAAAAATATTCCCCATATTTGTCCATATGCTTGGGGCTTGTGTCTTCCCCCCCACTTCCCGTATTCTCCCATATTTTCTGGGGAATCGACGATGAATTGTGTCTGTGTGCTTCTTTCCCTCCTGACCTTCGCCGGAGTGACCTTCTGGTGCAGGCCCCGTGGGCCCCCCCCCTCCCCTCCCCGATCGCCGGGTGCGCGCCAGGGTTGGGTCCCCTCGCGCCGCGCAGAGGCCGCGCACCGAAGGTGTTCCACTGAGGTGCCCTGCTGGAGTTCTGCTGAAGGGCGCCCCGTGGCCGCCGCGCGCGCTGGCCGGGGCTTCCGAAGGTTCGGCTGGCAAGCGGGCGCCCCCCTGGGGCTTTTCACTTCTCATTGCCGATTGCATCACATACGTCGAAAATCATATATTCTCTGGTCTAAAAACAGAATAGGATCTCCCCCCCCCCCCTTGGCGTTATCGTTTCCCTTTTCGGGTGTGTAAATTACATAGGACTCTGACCACAGGTCCATCCTAAATATGAAATCACCATGTCCCAGGCCAACCAGTATCCCCCCCGAGGTTCCCTTATAAAAACACTATGCGGTGACAGTTGTGGTTCTAACATAACACTTGTTCACGAATCCCTTGCAAAAAACTGGGACGAAGTGCAAACGCGCGCGCCGTCGCGCGCGCATGCCGAAATCAATGAAACCTTTGGTTCCGGAGAGATTTGAAAATTGATTTTCAAAAAAACAATCAAAAACACATGGTTTCGCAACACTGATTTGCTTAAAAAAATTACGCGCGAGCTCTTGCTAAATCTTAAGAAAACCATGGTTTTCAATATTTTCACAAAATGCTACCAAGCGGGCTTCGCGCGCGCGCATGTCGAAATCTGTCGAGCGCCCTTGCGCGTGTGCCGTCGCGAGAATCCTCTGCAACAAGTAACACGAAATGCAGACGCGCGCGTCGTCGCGCGCGTATGACAAAATCCTTCAAAAACCTTCGGTTTCGGAAAGATTTCAAAATCGTGTGTCCAAAAAACTTACAAAAACACAAGGTTTCGCAACACGGATTTTCAACAAAAGCATGCGCGCGCACTCTTGCGTCGTCGTCGTCGTCCTCCCTCCTCCTTCGTCGTCGTCGTCGTCGCCGTCGTCGTGTTCTGTCTTTCCTCGTCGTCGTCGTCGTCGTGTTGGCGTCGTCGTCGCTTCCGTCGTCGTTGTCGCCGTGGTCGTCCTTCCTCCCTCGTCGTGTTCGTCGGCGTTTCGTCGTTGTCCCTCCGATTTCGTCGCCGTCGTCGTCGTTGTCGTCGTCGTCGTCGTCGTCGTCGTCGTCGTCGTCGTCTTGACTCCTCCCTCGTCGTTTTCCTCCTCCCTCGTCGTCGTCATCGTCCGTCGTCGGCGTCTCGTCGTCGTCCCTCCTATTTCGTCGCCGTCGTCGTCGTCTTCGTCGTCGTTGTCGTCGTCGTCCCTCCTCCCTCGTCGTCGCCGTCGGCGTCGCCGTCCTTCCTCCTTCGTCGTTCGCGTCGTCGCCGTCTTCCCTCCTCCATCGTCGTTGTCGTCGTTGTCGCCGTCGTCGTCCTCCCTCCTCCCTCGTCGTCGTCTTCGTTGGCGACGTCGTCGTCGTCTTGGTCGTCGTCGTCGGCGTCGGCGTCGTCAACGTCTTCGTCGACGTCGGCGGTGTCGTCGAAGTCGGTGTCGGCGGCGCCGTCGTCGTCGTTGTCGCTGTCGTCGTCGGCGCCGGTGTCGTGGCCAAGTGGCATGTGGTACCTACCGTCACGGTCTTGTCTTAAGAAGTCTTGCGACCAAGTTGCGGGTGGGAGGGTGGGATGTTTGCACGAGCAGTAGAGAGGACAGCTTCAAGACGGTCAAAGTGAACTGCATCCATAGGATGCACCCCACACATTGAAATTGATGCGTGGCACTGCGTAGCACGCAGGTTGCACCACACGAAAACTGCACCACGGAGATGATCCGCTCTTTTAAGAAAATGGGATCGATGACCCCCCCGAGGCAGAGTTACCCGTTCGACCTAGGGATGTGCAAACAACATACGGTTCTGCCCGATCGCCATCCCAGCCAAACCAGGTCGACCGCGCGCTCTTGCTAATTCTCGACGACAACACATGTTGTTTACATTTCCCAATACATGCAATAAGAAAAACCACTCGCGCGCGGAGGTCGAACTCATTCGAACGCCCTTGCGCACATGCTGGGGGGGGCACGGCTCTTGTCAAATTCGCCGGCCCAACGGGCCAGAGGCGTGCTAAGATCTCCGGTAACTTGTTAACAATATTTCTAGTTCGCGCGCGCGGAGCGGCCCCGGGGGGCCCCCGGACGAAAAGTACCCCGGCAAGGTCCCGAGAGAAGCCCGGGAGAAGCCACCAGACCACTCCAGGGGAGGGTATTTTTCGACACCCCTCACGAGGATCGTGGCCTCCGAGGGGGGAGCCGCAATCGACTACCCCCAAGAGCCCCCCAAGAGGCCCTGGGGGCCTCCAAAACGCCGCCAAGGAGCCCCAAGAGACTCCCAAGAGGTCCCCAAGAGGCCCCCAAGAGGCCCTAAAGAGGGCTCCAGGGCCGGCGGCATGAGCGAAGCGATTAAATAACACCATGCGGGCCACTCGCGCCCGTCGGCTGCGCGCGCATGTCGAATTTCTCACACACCTTTGCATTCACCACCCTTGCAGTCGCCGACGCGTGTACACCGCCATCGTCACCGTCGTGATCAGCAACGGCGCCGTCATTGGCCTTGCTGTCGTAATCGTCGTCGTTACCAACGTCCCGCCAGAATGACTGACTCGCACTGAAGTGCCCGCGCGTCAGCGCGGCCTGCGAGACGCGCTGGGGAGTGCCCAACGGTCAGCGCCACCGCGGCCGCGTCGGTCGCGCGCAGACTATCTGGACGCTCGTCGCGCGGACCTGCGCGCGCAGAGCGCGACCGCAGCGACGCGCCAGCGCCGATCAGTCACGGCCATCGCCGACGCATCAGTTTTGCAAGCCAAGTTGGGGGTGGGTGGGTGTGAGGATTGCGCGAGCAGTGGAGTTGACACCTAAAGGTTCGGCAAAGTGAATTCCCCCTTTTACCAAAAAACTCTACCCCCACCAGGCGATATCCGCCCCCCTTTCGGGAATGTAAATCATAAGTGATTCTGACCACATGTCCATCCAAAATATGAATTTACAGTATTCCAGGAGGGCCGGTATGGCTCCCCCCGAGGTTCCCTTGTAACAAACAATACGCGGGGACGTGATTTGCTCTAACATAAGACTTTGTCACGAATCCCTTACAACAAATGGGACGAAATACACACGCGCGCGTCGTCGCGCGCATGCCGAAATCCTTCAAGAACCTTCGGTACCGGAAGGGTTTCGCAATCGAGCTTCCAAAACAAAACATACAAAAACACAGGGTTTCGTAACACTGATGCGCTAAAAAAGCTTACGCGCGAGCTCTTGCGAAATCTTGAGCAAACCAGAAAGGTTTTGCAAGATTTTCACAACATGCTGAGAAACGGGCTTCGCGCGCGCGCATGTCGAAGTCTGTCGACCGCCCGTGCGCGTGTGCCGTCGCGAGAATCCTCTGCAAAAAACAAGACGAAGTGCAAACGCGCGCGTCGTCGCGCGCATGCCGAAATCCTTCAAAATCCATCGGTTTCGAAAGGATTTCAAAATCGTGTGTCCAAACAACCTACAAACACCCAAGGTTTCGCAACACGGATTTTCAACAAAAGCGTGCGCGCGCGCTCTTGCGTCGCCTTCGTCGTCGTCGTCGTCGCCGTCCTCCCTCATCCCGCGTCGTCTTCGTCGTCGTCGTCGCCTACGTCTTCCTCTGTCTTCCCTCGTGTTCGTCGTCATCGTCCTCTTTGGCGTCGTGGTCGTTTCCGTCGTCGTTGTCGCCGTGGTCGTCCTTCCTCCTCCTCCCTCGTCGTCGTCGTCGTCCGTCGTCGGCGTCTCGTCGTCGTCCCTCCTATTTCGTCGCCGTAGTCGTCGCCGTCGTCGTTGTCGTCATCGTCGTCTTCCCTCCTCCCTCGTCGTCGTCGTCGTCGGCGTCGCCGTCCTTCCTCCTTCTTCGTCGTTCGCGTCGTCGCCGTCCTCCCTCCTCCCTCGTCGTTGTCGTCGTTGTCGTCGTTGTCGCCGTCGTCGTCCTCCCTCCGCCCTCGTCGTCGTCTTCGTTGGCAACGTCGTCGTCGTCTTCGTCGTCATCGTCGGCGTCGGCGTCGTCGTCGTCTTCGTCGTCGTCGACGTCGGCGTCGTCGTCGTCGCCGCCGTCGTCGTCGTCGTCGTCGTCGGCGTCGGTGACGTCGTCGTCGTCGGTGTCGTCGTTGTCGTCGTCGTCGGCGTCGTCATCGTCGTCGTCGTTGTCATCGTCGTCGTCGTCGTCGGCGTCGGCGTCGTCGTCATCGTCGTCGGCGTCGTCGTAGTCGTTGTCGGCGGCGTCGTCGTCGTCGTTGTCGCTGTCGTCGTCGGCGTCGCTTGTCGTTGCCAAGTGCCATTAGGTACCCGCCGTCACGGTCTTAAGAGATTTTGCAGACCAAGTTGCGGGTGGGTGGGTGGGATGTTTGCGCGAGCAGTGGAGTGGACAATGCGCTGCGAATAGAAATTAATCCTCATTTCTAAAAAGAGAATAGACTTTACCCCCCCTGGCGTTCGCCGCCCCCCTTCTGGGTATGTAAATCATAAATTATTATAACCACATGTCCATCCAAAATATGAATTTACACGATTCCAGGGGAACCGGTACCGGTCCCCCTGAGGTTCCCTTGCAAAAAAAAACGATACGCGGGGACATCGTTTGTTCTAACATATCACTTTTCCACGAATCCCTTACAAAAAAAGGGACGAAGTGCGCGCGCGCGTCGTCGCGCGCGCATGCCGAAATCCTTCAAAAACCTTCGGTGTCGGAAGGATTTCGCAATCGAATTTCCAAAACAAAATACAAAAACGCAGGGTTTCGTAACACTGATGCGCTAAAAAAGCTTGTGCGCGAGCTCTTGCGAAATCTTGAGCAAACCAACAAAAAAAAGTTGCAAGGTTTTCGCCAAATGCTACCAAACGGGCTTCGCGCGCGCGCGTCGAAATCTGTCGAAAGCCCTTGCGCGTGTGCCGTCGCGAGAATCCTCTGCACAAAACAAGACGAAGTGCAAACGCGCGCGTCGTCGCGCGCGTACGCCGAAATCCTTCAACATCCATCGGTTTCGGAAGGATTTCAAAATCGCGTGTCCAAAAAACCTATAAAAACACAAGGTTTCGCAAGACGGATTTTCAACAGAAGCGTGCGCGCGCGCTCTTGCGTCGTCGTCGTCGTCGTCGCCGTCCTCCCTCCTCCCGCGGCCTCGTCGTCGTCGCCGTCGTCGTCGCCTACGTCGTTGTCGCCGTGGTCGTCCTTCCTCCTCCTCCCTCGTCGTCGTCGTCGTCCGTCGTCGGCGTCTCGTCGTCGTCCCTCCTATTTCGTCGCCGTCGTCGTCGTCGTCGTCGTTGTCGTCGTCGTCGTCTTCCCTCCTCCCTCGTCGTTGTCGTCGTCGGCGTCGCCGTCCTTCCTCCTTCTTCGTCGTTCGCGTCGTCGCCGTCCTCCCTCCTCCCTCGTCGTTGTCGTCGTTGTCGTCGTTGTCGCCGTCGTCGTCCTCCCTCCTCACTCGCCGTCGTCTTCGTTGGCGACGTCGTTGTCGTCCTCGTCGTCATCGTCGGCGTCGGCGTCGTCGTCGGCGTCGTCGTCGACGTCGGTCGCCGTCGTCGTCGGCGTCGTCCGTCGTCGTCGTCGTCGTCGTCGTCGTCGTCGTCGTCGTCGTCGGCGTCGTCATCGTCGTCGGGTTTTTGCAAACCAAGTTGCGGGTGGGTGGGTGGGATGTTTGCAAGAGCGCGGGATGTGTCAACTCGTTTGTTAAAATCAGTTCTCCTTTCTAAAAAGAGAATAGACTCTACCCTCCCCCCCCCCTCCCCGGCGTTATCGCTACCCCTTTCGGGTATGTAAACCATAAATGACTATGACCACATGTCCATCCAAATTATGAAATCACAATGTCCCAGGCCAGCCGGGCTCCCCCCCTGAGGTTCCCTTGCAAAACAAAAAAAATGCGGTGACATTTTCTGTTCTAACATAACACTTTTGTGCAAATCCCTTGCAAAAAAAAATCAAAAAAACACGACGAAATGCACACGCGCGCGTCGTCGCGCGCGCATGCCTAAATCCTTCAAAAACCTTCGGTGCTGGAAGGATTTCGCAATCGAGTTCCCAAAAAACATACAACAATACAAGGTTTCGCAACACTGATTTGCTAAAAAAGCTTCCGCGCGAGCTCTTGCGAAATCTTATGAAAACCATAGGTTTTCAAGATTTTCACAAAATGCTATTAAACAGGTTTCGCGCGCGCGCATGTCGAAATCTGTCGAACGCCCTTGCGCGTGTGCCGTCGAGAGAATCCTCTGCAAAAAATTGGACGAAGTGCAGACGCGCGCGTCGTCGCGCGCGCACGCCGAAATCCTTCAAAACCCATCGGTTCCGGAAGGATTTCAAAATCGTGTCCAAACAACCTACAAGAACCCAAGGTTTCGCAACACGGATTTTCAACAAAAGCGTGCGAGCGCGCTCTTGCGTCGTCGTCGTCGTCGTCGTCGCCGTCCTCCCTCCTCCCGCGTCGTCGTCGTCGTCGCCTACGTCGTCCTCTGTCTTTTCTCGTGTTCATCATCGTCGTCCTCCGTTGGCGTCGTGGTCGTTTCCGTCGTCGTTGTCGCCGTGGTCGTCCTTCCTCCTCCTCTCTCGTCGTCGTCGTCGTCCGTTGTCGGCGTCTCGTCGTCGTCCCTCCTATTTCGTCGCCGTCGTCGTAGTCGTCGTCGTTGTCGTCGTCGTCTTCCTTCCTCCCTCGTCGTTGTCGTCGTCGGCGTCGCCGTCCTTCCCCCATCTTCGTCGTTCGCGTCGTCGCCGTCCTCCCTCCTCCCTCGTCGTTTTCGTCGTTGTCGTCGTTGTCGGCGTCGTCGTCCTCCCTCCTCCCTCGTCGTCGTCCTCGTTGGCGACGTCGTTGTCGTCGTCGTCGTCGTTGTCTTGGTCGTCGTCGTCGGCGTCGTCGTCGTCGGCGTCGTCGTCGTCGTTGTCATCGTCGTGGTCGTCTGCGTCGTCGTCGTCGTCGGTGTCGTCGTCGTCGTGGTCGCTGTCGTCGTCGAAGTCGTTGGAGACGTCGTCGGTGTCGTCGTCGTCGGTGTCGGCGGCGCCGTCGTCGTCGTCGTCGCTGTCGTCGTCGGCGTCGGTGTCGTGGCCAAGTGCCACCTGGTACCCACCGTCACGGTCTTGTCTTAAGAGGTCTTGCGACAAGTTGCGGGTGGGAGAGTGGGATGTTTGCACGAGTAGTGGAGAGGACAGCTTCAAGACGGTCAAAGTGAGCTGCACCCCATAGGTCATCCCATAGCCATAACACCACATAGCTTGCACAGCATACATCGCATCCCGTATATGATGGTGCAACATACATTGCATCGAATAGGTCACGTCACATCTGCAAATGCACACGACGCATATTGCACATCGAGACTGAGAGAACCCACAGGTCGGGGTCCACGCTGGCACACATATCAATGTTCAGTGGTGTTCATTGATTTGTCCGTCAGCCTGGCTTCGAACTCCTCGCGGCTCTTCGGGCGGAAGCTCAGCTTCTCCTCCAGGGAGAAGGAGGGGGCGGTGGAGGAGGAGTAGGAAGAGGAGGAGGAGGAGGAGGCGATGGAGAGGGAGGAGGAGCAGGATGAACAGGAAGGGGAAAGGGAGGAGGAGCGGGAAGGAAGGGGAGGGAAAGGTGGGAGCAGAAGGTGGGAAAGATTTGGAAGTAGTGGGGGGAAGGAGAAGGAGGATGAGGAGCGGGCGAGGAGGACGAGGAAGAGGAGAAGGGGGAAGAGAGGACTGGGCGGAGTAGGAGGAGCAGGAGGAAGAGGATGACCATGAGAAGAAGAAGGAGGGAGCGGGAGGAGGATGACGACGAGTAAAAGGACGAGGACGAAAAGGGGGCTGGAGAAGGACGACCACGAAAACGATGGGGGCAAGGAGGGCCAGGAAAATGAGGTAAAAGGAAACGGGGGTTATGGGATAATGAGGACAAGGGGGAGGGAGGACGAGGAGGATGAGAGGAGACATAGAGGAGAAAGATAGAGGCCTCCCAGTCTGGATCCGAGTTGATGAGGCCGAAGGATCGCGCCGCATCGCCGATGCGTCGCAGACGTAGGCGTGTAGAAAATCGGGCCCCACATCGAGCCGCATCGCCGATACATCGACGAGGCGGAGGCGATCCACTTGGGAGGCCTGGACAGTGGGAGGATACAGGAGTTGGAGGATACCGGAAGAGGAAAAGGAGGCCAGCCTCTCCTTCAGCGCGTCTGAGCGTGCCCGGAGCTCCATCTTGACCTGGGGAGCCAAGACAAGGCGTCCACCCCATCCCCCCAGGCAGTGGAATAGAAAGATGAGGATGAAGACGACGACGACAAGAACAAGGACGACAAGGAGGAAGCAGGAGAACGGAGAAGGGTGATCAAGAGTGGGCGCCGACGATCAGGAGCGAGGAGGGGAATGCGGTCGAGTAGCATAGAAGAGGACGGACGGGGAGATCAAGGCTTTTGGGGGGAAGAACGAAGGTGCTTACAGTGAGGAGCTCTTGCTCAGCGTGTCGCGGCGGCGGCCCCTTCAGCACGCGACGCAGTGCAACTTGACAGCGTGTCGCTCTGTTTCGCAGGACGGGAGGCCAGCAGAAGCTCGGCACACTAATTGGGGGTCAGGACCGGGACGCACAAAGACATACTGGTACTATATGTCTTCCTCGGATGATCGCGTCAGGCCCGAACACATAGAATACAGCATACCCATCTTGTAGTATACCGCTTTCCGAGCGGTGTGGCCAGCAAGCGCCGGCCACGACGCACCTACTGTAAGATTGCTCGGTGCGCGCGTCGCCCGCGGGGGGGGCGACGCACATGCAGTATTAGCATGCTGGGGTGACGCCGAAGGACGTGCTAAGCGCGTCGCGCCACAAAGCGTGCTTGGCACGACACGCAAAGCAAACGCTCCTCCTCCTCGTTCCTCCTCCTCGCTCCTCCTCCTCCTCCTCCTCCTCCTCCTCCTCCTCCTCCTCCTCCTCCTCCTCCTCCTCCTCCTCCTCCTCCTCCTCCTCCTCCTCCTCCTCCTCCTCCTCCGCGAGCGCGGTGGGGTATTGCTGGCAGGAGGAAGGCGGACCCTGAGGGCAACGAGCCCTGGAGCCGGAGCTCCTCTGTGCCGCTCCAGGGGCCCGGAGCGGCAACGGGAGAAAGAGTCAGGCCCAGTTCCCAGAGGACCCCTCTCCTGCACCGGGAGCGCAGGCTCTGGCGCTTCACTCCCTCAAGCGACCCTCTCCAGCGCGGCCGGCACCTCCTCCGTGGCGCTCGCGAGGGACACCGTGAACTTGTCCCCGCCCGTGCGCAGCTTCGCCTTGGCGTCCCCCGCCGCCGTCCACCATGGCGCATGTGAGGACGAAGGCAACATGTATGTATATATATATATATATATATATATATATAGATATATGGGTGTGTAAAAATCACGATAATATTCGATGGAGAGAGAAACAGTTGTATATATATATATATATATATGATACCTCTAAATTCAGATGTATCGATCTCAATATATTTCCATGTATCGGAACGGGGCAACTCGGTGATCTCAGAGAGATGGCTGGCGGCTGGGTGGCTTGGAGGATGCATCATTCGCTGCGGCCGTTCCGGATTGCTTCGGAATGCTCTCATA